TTTTTTTTTTTTTTTTTTTTTTTTTTTGATAAAGCATTGGTTTTGTCAACATTATTTTATTTTTTATTTAGAAATTTTTAAAAATTGTGTCAGGACTTTCATTTGGGTTTTAAATGAAAGAAACTTCGGGGAAATGTCTTTACCAGTGATTGATAGAGGAGGATTTCAGGCTGCTTTAATCAAGAGGGCTTTTTTTTAAGGGAGAAATGCTCAAAGTGAGATTTTACTTCCTCATTGATCTTGCTGTGCTGAGAAGTAATTGTTAGTAGGGTTAAAAGTAAGCTACTAATTTGTATAAACCGCTTCAGTGTTCTTCCTCTCAATTTTCAACTTATGCTTAAACGCATATAAAGCCATTTAGGAAGTCAGCAGTGTTTCACACGAGCTGGAACTGTGTGAGCGGGAGGTAGTTGTCACACTTGGCAGGGTACACATGTTGGATAAAAGTGCTACAAGTAGGTTGATAGTCTTCTTTTTATAAAGCAGTTTTGGACTACTGATTGTTTCGTTGTGCAGGGGTTTGTTTTTTAGGTGAAATTTTCACCAGCTCTCATGATATGGTTGAGAGCAGAATTAAGCCTCTTTATGAGAAACTGCAAAAGTTGGTTTCTCCAAACATGTACTACAAGTATGCGTTTTTGATTGGTTATCATGTTTGACCGTCCTTAACTTATTATAAGTGGTTTTTGGGAGGGTGTTTGCTGTTTGCAAATGCTGAACAAGGTGGCGTTTTTTCTATGCACTGGTCAATCTCTATTCTTTAAAAACTTCCACTAGGAATTGCTTCCATACTGGTAAATGTAGTTTGCTAGAGGTTTCTTTTGGAGGCGGATATGGAAGATATCTGTCATTTTTGGTTACTTCACTGGAAGGAATGGCCGTAAAACTTTTAGGAGTAAGAGGCAGATAGTCGTCATTGTGATTTTTTCACTCCATTTATTTCTCTTTAGGAGTTATATAAGCCGATTTGTGGGCGATTCGTGAGAATTATTCCCGACGTCTTTCTAAAAAAATTCTTTAACGTATCTAAATTTTTTAATTTCAATATTTTTGTCGGACAAAATAAACTTTTTTAGATTTCATGAGTCCTTTGCCCACGCAACACAACGTGTGGTCTACGCAATTGCCTTCACGCACTTTTTGGAAGAAGGAGTACTGATCAGCCGCGACGCTGTAGCGTCTATTTTAGGAGGTAGGTTTTTTTTTCAGCAGCTCAGCATTTTTCTTTATCATTGTATTTTATCGTTTTCTGGATGTTTTTACTTATCTTTCTGACGATTAGATTTTGTGTTGAGCAACTAAAATTACAGTGAAAATTGATGGTAGAGATGGATTCCATTTGGATTTGGAGGACTATCTTCATGGAATTCTTCATCTAACTTCGGAATTGTCTCGTTTTTCAGTCAATGCAGTTGCTGCTGGGGATAATAAGCAGCCTCTCTTGGTATATTGTTTATTTAGTTAAAAAAAGTTAACAGAAGCAGAAACTTATCTTAATCTAATTGTTTTCTGCACTACTTTTTTGCCTCTGATATTTAGTAAGGTTTATTATTCTTTAGCTTTATTGCTTAGGAACACGATTAATTTCTTCTTATTTCCCAGCCTAGTATGTGGGATTGCGTTAGGGAAGTTTTAATACACTGAAGTGTGACCATGGAGCCGCTTCTGAGCAGCTCGGGACGAAGGTAGCTCAGCTTGGTCGCCCCTAAGCTTGACCTAAACTAACTTGTTGTGCTCTCTATATCAGTTCTTCGTCATTTGAAAAACAAAATGGGGACATGAGATTTCGATAGTATATTGCTTTATAAGTGTGGTTAGCCGGAATACATTCAATTGGGTGGTTGGTGATTGAGTTAAATTTAAAAAGAAAGCACTTCATGGAGAGTGAAATTTACCGCTTTATAAGGAACCATTTGATTTAAATAAATAAATGTTAAATCAAGATGTGGCGCATTATATGTATGAAAATTTGATTAATTAATATTACTCTAATGACGCTTTGTCGTTTTAGTTTTTCGTGGTTTCGTTGGATATAAATAACTGTGAAAATGTTTAAACCTTGAGTCAGATATAGTCCTGTCAACGAAGAATTGCCATCATTATAGATTGCCGAGTTCGTGAGGACAATAGATGCAAATTTCCGACTCCTCAATTTAAAAAATGATTCTTTGAGGAGACGTTTTGACTCCTTGAAGTACGAGCTTCAGAAGTGTGATCAGATAGTATATGACTTGACCATTCGTGGTTTAAAACCAATTGAGGTGCAAGGGGAAACCGACTGTAAAAGCAATTCGCTTCCAGACAACTTCGAAGTGCCGGTGAAAAAGAAGCTTAAAGAATCTACAAACTGAATCCATCCCTCTTCATCTTTTACATGTAATTTTTTGTGTGTCGAAAAGTTGCTTGGTTGTTATTGGGAATAATCGATTAGATGAATCTAAATGTCCCGTTCAGAGAGAATGCGAACGGTCTTTGCGCCTACCTTGCGAACTCGTTTTTTTTTTTTTCTTCACTTTTTCTTGTTCTGTCGTGAGTTTCTTGGGTAAATAAGGTATGTAATGTTTTCTACCAATTAAGCTAGTTTTGCTTACTGACCTCATTCTCAGCATAGTGTCTCATTGAGAGCGTAATAAAATTTGCTTGATCTAGGTGTTCTTAACGTTTTTCAAGTAATTCTAATTGTCTGGTTATATTATACACTTGGAACAAATATTTTTGAAATCATTATCTTTGTCAGATGATCGCGTCTTTAAAACTTGCACTTATTTTATTTCCTCTTGAATAAATTTCTTGAATAGATTGTGCGTACTTCTGTGTGCAAAAGTACTAGTGTTGAAAAGCTGGGGGTTATGAAAGGCTCCCTGTCAGGAACAGCTGTCGTCAGCGCAAAATGCTTGCCCATTTAGCTGCCGGCACATTATTAGTTTTGGAAATGGATTGCATGTGCAAGGCAGGGCACTCTTGATAATACAGGATACAGAGTCTGTCTTACTGCGGGAAGATATGCAGCTTTTTTGTGCGGGCATTCGTCAACGTTGCACGAGCGATTTAAGCAGTTGGAGGCAGCGCCGTCGCGTAAGGGACGAGCGAGCGCGAGTAAAGCAGACTTCTGAAAACTGCTCAGCAGGACGCCTGCTACCGTCGTGCCCAAACTGCTTGAGTCTTGTACAGTGGTTGAGCATTTTAAGTAATACTGTGTGTTGAAGAGTCGCTATCTTATTTAATTTGCGCATCCAGCAAAGCCCTAGACCCAGTTAGGAGTCAAACCATGACGTAGACTTCTGGACTCATCCATATTGTTTTGGCTGCCCACTGTTATTTAGGTTTAGTTTTACTGCACTTGTCAGCCTCTAAGCGCCTTTCTTTGCAATCATGTGTTAATCAGACTGTCCCTGTAAATGCCCAAAAACGAAAAGCCTAATGAATTTGTCCACTCTGTGAGAATCTAATTCAGTCTGTAAGTCTTTATGAAAGACGGTTTTTCACCGTTAGTAGAGCTTCGGATTAGAGTTCTATCCACCCTGTTATATGTAATTCTCATGTGTAGTGAGAAAGAAGACCATCTTAAAAATTGCCTCTTATTTAATTGCAGAATAAGTACTAACTACAAGAAAATATAAAAACTACGTAAGTAGAAACTATGTACGCATAAGTTATAAACAAGATACAAGGCCGTAACTGATCCCTTTCAGGGATTTGCAGAACTTCATTGAGGCTACCATCGGTGAAATAATTTAAGCGGTGACAAAATGCACGTAAATTTTTCTTTTAGCACTATTGAAATACGTTGAGTTTCTTTCGTTCTTTGGCGCTTGCAAACTTATGGTGAAATAACAGTTGTCAACCTCCAGCGATACCTCTGCATCTTTAGAAATTTGCTTGAAGGTAACCTTCATCATTATTTCGCCAAACTGCTATACTACGCTACGGTCGTGCTCAAAAAAGCCGAACTGTTTTGGTAGGTGCAAAGGTGTCGTTAGAAAATTAAGTGCCGTTATTCGACCTCAAGAATACGTAAAACCGAAAAAGCCTATCTTACTTTAGAGTAAGGTTGAGAGTAAAAGACTTTGGTGTCACTTTTAGAAAAATTATTCTTCAAATTACTATTTGTGACACACTTCTGTTCAAATAATTCATCTTTCTGGAAAGAAATACTTCACTGTCAATCTTCTCTTATACATGCACTACTGTCATGGGCAGGTACCGATCATTTCCTAACTTCTGTTGGTCTGTTCAATGAAGGGCAACGATCGGTACTTGTTTATGACATCAGTGCATGCATAAAAGAAGACTGACAGTGAAGTATGCCTTTCTGGAAAGATGAATTATTCGAACAGAAGTGTATCATAAATAGTAATTTGAAGAATAATTTTTCTGAAAGTGACACCAAAGTCTTTTACTCTCAACCTTTATCTAAAGTAAGGTAGGCTTTTTGGTCCTACGTATTTTTATGGTCAAAAAAAATTTATGTGCATCTTTTCACGTATCGCCCAAAGCATTCCACTGATGATAGCCTAAATCAAGTTCTACACATTCCTTAAAGGGGTAGGCTGCGGCTTTGTATTCTGTTTATCGGAAATAAGTCGCAAAAGGAAATTTACAATTTTTTGCCAAGATCTGATGTTAAAACAGATTTAACGGCTTCTGATGAGACTGTTAAGTTTTTGAGGTAGCGTGGCCAACAGTCATATTTTAAGAGCGACAAGATCTGAAAATGGAAAGTTTAAACGTAAAAAAAAAGGAGGAAAAAAACATGTCTACACAGCTTTGAGACATGTCTTGCTTTTTTAAAAACTTCATACTTGTTTCTGCGCAGAACTATACATGTCACTAGAAATCTTGTTAGACAAGAAGGATTTCCGAATTGATTTGATTGTTTCGCTATCAACATTTAATGGCTGGTCGCTGTCCAATGCAAAAAATTTGCCGTATATATCACGAGCAAGTTTTATTTTGTCGGCCTAAACATTTCCTGACTAAAAACTGTAATAAGCACTCACACTCATTATACTACTGTTTTCAATAGTATAGGTCCAAATAGGCTTCAAAACGAGAGAGTGAGGAGTAAAAGTTGTAAGGGAAATAAATAAACTAACAGGATTATCAGACAATTTGATGAACCGATCTGCCATGACATAGAAATCGAGATTTTCTGTTGAGAGCTCAGTTTCAAGATAACACTGAAACCTCAAGTCGCTTTTTTAATTAAATGGTTAATGATTTCTGAGATTCATCACCATCAGCCTTTAGCATCAATTTTACAAGTGTTCACAAGATAATGGCGCCTAAAGGCTGCATGAAAAAGGAATTTAAAGATAACAATAACAAGTAGCTGCTTAGACTTCATAGACAAGTGTCAGGAAGTCTGAAAGCGGTAGCGGTGAAGAAACAGTGCGGTATACTGGTGTAGGTAAATAAGCTAACCCGAAACGAGTCTCTAAGGTTTGAATCATTGAAGACGTCTTCAAAAGCTGGCGGAGGCTGCTTTTTACTTGGGAGTCCGTTATCACTAAGAAAATATCCTTTACGAAGATCACGGACTTCTAAAAACTCGTGATTTTTTTAGCGAAACAATGGTAGAGCAGTTAACATGAGTAGAAAACTGCTTATTTGTCTATTTAAGTTAGAAGTCATTGCAAAAAACAATGTAAACTTCATAATACTACATAAAAGATAAATGCCTTAAATACTTTAGTTGCTCATAACCCCTTCATAGTTTTATGTGTGACTCTTCTGAACCACTGCTTTCCCTTGGGAAGGATGCTTCAATAGATATTTACTCTTAAACATCAGCTGTTGATCCCGCTCACAATCATCTTTAATATAGATCAAGAAGTCTAATAAAGGACTGCAGTCAAATTTTTCTGTACCGATAGCTCTATGTAATGTGAAACACAGAGTAGGATGACACTGTTAACAATTAAACCTGCTGTGAAAGAAACACTAAAAAGTTTCTTTGCTAAATAATTCCATTATTACAAAAAATTGCTCCCTTGTTTTAAAAGTACTACAGAACGAAAGATGATAAAAACTTTCCCATTCAGCGCAAGGATACAAATAGCAGGTTTCTTGGGAAGCTATACAAAAAGAAAACACGATTTTCCCCAAGACACAAAACGCAAATGAAACAAAAAGTCGTTTTCCAACTTGTGCAGTGATGGCGGAAAAGTAGAGAAAAATACAGACTAACCTCTTGTGTTCGTGTTTTTCCGTGAGGGGTATTTAACCAGCGCGGCAAATCGTCCCCTAATATGCGATTCCTCGCTGAGTTTCCTCCCTTGTAATTTAAAACTCAAATGCCGTCCAATAAAACCCTAAAATAAGGAAAAGCTCAATTAAAGAAAAAGAATAACCGGGTTATTCAAAATAAAAAAAGTAACTTTTAGTCAAATGGAATAAAGGATTATTAAATTTCTGAACGCAATGAGAAAAAACAACTCACTGACTTCCAGTAAAATTATAATTAAAAAATTTGGAAGTAGAGATTGAATTATTATAACGATGTAAACCCCAACTTTACGTTTACTGGCAGGTGAAAAATTCCGCTGGTGGTTACGACACTCATTTGCTGAAAGTGGCGCAGTGCATAAAAGCAAAACTAATTGGATAGTTATGCCTAAGGTCTATTTTTTATGAAATTCCGTGCTCAAGTAAACCTGATTCGTCTTTTCTTATCAGTCACAAAACACATAATTTGCAGATAATTTCCAGGAGTAAATGTTAGAAAACTTACTTGAAGTTGCTTCTTTTGCTTGTCCAGTGGGAGTGGCGATGGGTTTTGGATTTGTCGAAGCTGTTATGGTCCTTAATGAATGTCTAAATATCAGAATTAATAAGAATAACTCTATTAGTTAGAAAGCCAAGCTGTTTACATAATAAACTACTTGCCTCAGGTTTAAGGTAACAGCGGGATCCCATTTGGAAGATGGCTTTGAAGTGAACTTCTGTGTGACCTTACAAAAAAAGTCGTCTGCTGAAAAGTCATTTAATGAACGACAACGCAAAATATGGTTATAAAGTTGGCTGGGTAAAGGAAAAGTAAAACACCAATGTTTAACAATCTTCTTTCTCGAAGAAAGAAACCAGATAAGGCTAACTTCGAACTGAGTGTCCTCTTTCTTCAGTGGTACTTTGCAGAGAATGAGTACAGCAGAAGTGTTCGGGCACTAGAACCTAGATAAAAACTACATCATAAATGTCATAAATGCGCATTAAAAACTCGCTAATATTCTTATTAAAATTTTGAAAAAGTACTAGCAAAAAAATGCTACCAAAATAACAGCAAATTCTAAAAATAAATGACTTTTTTCTTCGCCCTTTATTAAAAACCTTCAAAAATCGAGGTTTGTGTTGTTTAGTTTTCTCGGTAAATGACACATTCATGAACTTCAAAAAACAAATCATCACCACAAAAGACCAATAAAATAAAAGTAAGAAGAAAAAAAAGATCTTTTTAACACCAATTCAAAGAAACGGGTAAGAACAGGAAACTGCCAAAAGTAAACAAGTTAATCAACTGCCTTTGTCTTAGCTACCGGTTTTTAAAATCAGTTATGACAAAAACATTTATGAAGAATAAAAACTGTCGCTAAAGAGCTCCTGCAAATTTCCAACACCTTGGAAAAACGAATCACTTGGAAAACTAGTTTTTGAAAAAGTGAAAAAACCAGTTACCACTGGCGAAGTTCGCATGAAGCGGATATATTGTAGCACTGGACGCGAAGAATGCGGGAATTCGTTACAGAAGCTTCTATAATTCCCACCACTTCCTTGCGGGCATCTGGAATGAAGAAGATGGAAGTCTTCTGTTCAACCACATTAGATGCAAAATATAATTCAGTTTAGCAACAGTAATGACAATACAACTAGTTTTCTCGAAACCTACGACTTGACTCCTTTTACTTCCTTCCCAACAGCCCTTCTAAAAGACTACAATTTTCCTTCTAATTTTTAATAAATCTTCGAGATTAAACGGCAAAAGAATGTTAACTGGCAAATCCCTAGCCTAGGCAAAACTCTAGAAGCCAAGTTGATATTTCAGGAAGACTCCCATCAAAAGTTAGTTATTCTGTAAAATGTCCTCAGCACCTCCGTACCACTAATTTGCTCTTTGAATAAAAGCGTTTATCTTCCAAAAACGACAACAGCACTATTCGTATTGATGCAACACAAAATGCATCTATTTAACAAACGACAAGATGAGGCATAAAGTAAGGGTCAAGCAAAAGAAAACCAGGTGCTCTTAAAACTAACGTGCAGTTAATCCCATAAGCTGCAGTGTATTTTGTATGAACGCTGTGAAATATCAGCTGTTCATAAACACCAAATACGTGACAACGACGATCAGCTGAAATCAGTAATTTGAACAAAACCGAAGAAACAGAACTAAAGGCCAAATACAGGTCACTAGAGTAATAAAATATACCTTCTTAAATTGTCTCGCTTTAAAATATCAAAGAAGAAAGTGAATTCCGGCGCACGAAATGCGACAGAAAACGAAACCATACTGCTCAGCAAAAAAGTACATTTCTCCAAAGAAACATTAATTTTCTGAGGATTTATTTGAAAGTTAAAAGAAAATGATAAAATAAAAAAGCATTACGTACAAGAAGACAATTTATTCTTTGTAACGATACCAAAGAGTTGATGGTTATCAGGATAAAGAACAGCGACTTCTATATCGTCAGCGTCAAACCGGGTACTAACGGTGTCCTTTGAAGTATTTACAGTAATCTGAAAGTAAGTTTAAGACGCCTTACTTCAGGTGCAGCAACCGCTGTAGCAAGTTATTGAGACATATCTAGTTAAGAAACGATAACCGATTCGCGATTGAAACTGACCACGAAGATCTAAACCACTTTACTTGAAAATTTAAATTTTCACGCTTCTTGATACTACACTAATGTAGCCAAATTAATGGTCCAATACTCTACCCTTGATGAACTATTGATTAAATTTTAGATAAACCCAGATTGATTTTTTAGTACCAATCGCTAGTATCACTAATTTTTTGCAATTTACGTCTTTTTTTTTTAGGGATCAAAAGCTTTTCTTCTTCCCTCTTCGCGCCTTCTTTTTAAATTCACATATTATTTCTAAAAAACGCCTAAATACCTCGCAACACTTACCACCTCTTGAAATATGAACTTTCTGAACTCTGTTCACTGTAATTCTCCGGAAAAGTAGAATGAAAAGTGCTGAGAAGAAGAGCCCATATAGTAATTGATCAACCCAATGCTATTCTTTAAAACGATGAATAGCCTGATGAATCTTGGATCTCATTTTTTATACTGTACAGAAAGAAAGGCAGGACAGCAACAAAACGTCTTCTCTAACGATTTACCTGATCATAAAAAACCCTCATCAATACTGTTGGTGCAATGCGTGTTTTTTCACAAAGAACATTTACGGCAAGGCTAATTATACTACGCGGACGCATTGAAGAATCAACATCGACTGTTCCTAAAGTAACCAGAACAAACTGCGATAACAAGTTCGGGTACCTGGTAACGCCATCTCTGAAGCCAAAATACAATAAAGTAACCTAACACCTAGACAGTTCTTATGCCGCTACTTAACTACTAATTTACAATAAAATTAAGACAATTTTTACATCAAACAGTCCCAAATATGCATTAAAATTGAAACTTACTTTACTTCGTTTTCTCCACGGTTCATTACAGAAGATAAGCTATTTCGGCCAGCGAGCATTATGAGCGATGTTGATCAATGAGCGAATTCAGTGGAATCACTCCAGTACCTTTACAAAAATCCTTATTTTATTCAGTCTTTAATATAAAGTACGAAGTGTAATATTAGAAACTGATTAGAAAGAACATTAGTGCAGATAACAGTCTCTAGGCTTAACAAAAAATAAGCTATACAGCTTCTGAAATATCGTATTTATTAAAGAAAAGACAAACACTTCATAAAAAAAAGGTTTAAAGCTTTTGCCTCCAAATTAATTGTACTTTTTCAAAGTCACTTCAAACAACTCTATAAAACATAGTTATACACTGATAGTAAACTGCTCCTGGACTAAACGAAATGATTGTGGGAAGACCGCCCAAGATTATTTGAACTTTTATAGTATTATCAATGTTTTTCCACTCACATCTTATGGCGGCCCTGCTAAATTACTTTCCCGCAAAGTTTCAACTTCCTCAACATTTTTTTAAATATTCCTATAATAAAACTCACTGAGTGTAGCAAACGAACCGTTTGAGTCACACATTATTCAATGCACATCAAAAACTGAAGGAGTAGAAGTCAATTAATTTGTGGCTTTAATGGACCAACATTTATTCTCTAAGGTCAGTAAAGTGCTGTTCTAAAGAAAGCAAAGTTATTAAATAACCGGTACGGTAGGCGTACTTCTAATTGATCTATGAAGCCGTTTAGAACTTTGGAAAGTACAAGACACATTTAAGCTTTACAGAATTATATGAACCAACGCCAGGCCTTATCACAGCTCGTTCCTTATTTCACACCACTCTGTCGACTTGAATACAACGCTCCTCTCTGGTTCGATACACTTGTTTCATCCCAAAGTTCTTTCTACCGAACACCACGCCAAAACGCAGTCAGCAAATAAATTTTCTTTTTCTGTTGGCGACCTCCATTCACCGCGTTCTTACATGTAGTTTTCCTCATTTATTGAGGGAGAAATGGTACCTACGTGGGATCTACATTTAGGAAATGCTACTTGGTAAGAACTTTGATGTGCTACAGATATTTGCTTCTCTTACTGATTTTCTCAAAATATCTCCAAATCACCCAAAAGTTCGTACTCAACAGGCGTCTTCAACGGTTGCGAAATGGCACTGAGAGAAGATTTTCTAAAAAAAAAATTGTAGATTTACAATGTAGCCAAATTTTATGAGAAGGAAATTTTATAGAGCCTATACCCCGCAACTATCGCACATGACCTGATGTTTTCAACCGCATAAGATCAGATGCAGCATTGCTTACGTTTTTCAAAACTGTCGAGAACCAAGGGTATATTTGAGCTGGAATTGTAGCTGAGGCGGTACTTTCGTTACTGTGAAGAAGACAAAGTTAGGTTTCTCATTGCCAAGAGAATATTTTAGAAAACAAGCGTTTTTCAGAATCGACATCGTCACACGAGACACTATACCATTTAAACATCTCCGGCCCTAAAAATGCTTTCTAATATTGTCTACCTACTTACATATATCGGTCTTCGACCCTGTTGATTCATCTGTAATAAGTTCAAAATTGTCTTTTTACTTCTAGATAATCTAATAATCTAGTGCTGAAGTCTCATAGTGATCCTTACCTTGTTTAACAATGCCACCTTTCTGTTGGCATAATCTATGAATAGAAGATGAATCGCGGGTGTTTTTCTAATATATTACGTTGGATTTAACCTCTCCTGGAAGCTACTTCCTCTTATAATAAAACTGCTTCTGCTTTTTTAGTATTGCTTACGGAGTCACTTCTCCTAACCAAAACTGGGTTTGAGACCCGTGTTTGAAGTACTTCTTACAATTGCTGATTGATTTTGTCCAAAGTGGTTTTCAATTTCAATCACTTGGTGGATCCGAGTAGTGCAATAAGCAAGTATTCCCATCACATTACGAAATTTGAAGTCAAATTATTTTTTATCGTTTATTCATGGTGGTAAATGCGCTCTTGAATTTGTGGTCAAATAAACTCTGTAAGTCAATAATCAGTGTTTTGAAAAATGTAGGTGTATGATACCGATAAAATGCAATCGTATTAGTGAAAGGATCAAGTAGAACTGCATGGGTAATGAAAAGCGAGGCTCTATCCCTCAACAGCAGTACGTCAAATTTAGATTTCTGTAAGGTCGCGCCTCTTCTTGAAAGACATTTAGTTATTTACTTTTTATGATCAAAGTAGTTTCTTTTAGTTTTTGAAAAAGTAGAAATCTTTCCACATACAGCTGTTAAATGGTGCAGTTCTTGTAGGAGTATCTTAAAGCCAAATAAAAAGGATGCTGGAACGTAAAGATGCTAAAGGTTACCCACAAGTGATCGTAAAAACTGATGGAACTGTTTCAATATAAGGATGTGGTACAGTTAATTTTAAAAGTAAAAATCTGCGGATTTTTGATGCTAATAGTCTTGAGCCTAACAAAATTGTTGGTTTTATAGGAAAAACTTGACTTTCCAGTGACTTGCTGCTATTGAAAGGTTTTGTTTAATACCGATTACTGCGAGTGAAATGTGACGAACTTCTGATGAGTGCCCATTTCTGTATTAGGCACTTTTTTGAGGTTCCCCGTGGAGAACAGTATCGTGGCGGAATTCACGTTAAAGAGAACTAATGGAACCAACAAAAAAAAAAATTACGCAATTGTAAACGGAATAAATAAGGTTTTTGAACGTTTATATATGGGCCATTCTATGCCAAATCGCACACTTTTCCCTTCATATCTCAAATTTTTAAAATGTTGCTCGTTAGTAGAATCTAGGCCAGCATACAAAAAGCCGAGAAAAAACTATAAAAGTGAATTCCCTACCAAGATACACCCTCTCAAGGTTACAAAATCTGTTGGGTTGCCGCATGACATGCCTAACTTTGGGACTTGTAAATTGACTTATCCTTAATAAAATTTAACAGTTTTTCACTTATTGGATTTATCTTGTCCTAAACTTTTAAAGAAGACGTTTCTTTGAATTTTTTAGAAACGTCATATTTTGTGTAGAATTTTTTGCTCTACGGCAAAATCAAATTTTGGCTGCGGTAGTTTTTGACATTAAGAGTTACGGGCCAGAAAGGAATGTCAAACTAAAAAAAGCCCACAATTTTTGCAGTAATTCTATGTATTTTACTCGACGAAACTTTCCTGAACCTCTTCTGAAAGCCGCAGTGACGCGCCATAAATATTCGTTATGCTTCAAACGTTGTAATTTTGTTACAGAAGTTGTATTCACTCCAAAATATTAACAGATTATTGTTCTGCGTGTAAGAAATGACTTTCATTCCAGTGCCTTCTGCTTCCTGTATTTCACTGTGTCAAAATTTTACTTTAGTAAACAATTTGAAGTCACGAAAAAGTTTGCTCCACCTAATTAGCTACTGGGTTAAGACTCACCTGAGATTTTCCATGTTTTTGGAGAACCACAGTACATAATTTCAATGAAAGAACAACAGGTTGAGCTTGCGCAACCAAAACTTTGATAAAAGCACTATGGAAACAACTCTGCAGGATAATAGTTTGTTAATATTTCGAAGTAAAACTCAACTTTTTTAGCAAGTTTCAAACGTTTAAAGCATTCCGAAATTTTATAGCAAGTGTCTGCGGTTTTCAAAAGCAACTCAGAACGGTTTCGACATGTAAAATACATGGGATTACTGTAAAAACAGCAGGTTTTTTTCAGTTTCACATTTCTTTCTGGCTCATAACTCCCGATACCAAAAAACACCATCACCAAAACTGATATGCTGTAGAGCAAAAAATTCTACACAGAATATTTCTTTTCTTAAAAATTTGAAAACATTTTTTATTCGTGGTTTTTTTTTGAAGTATTATTTTTACTATATCTATGTGACTTTTTATCAGGACTAAAAAATTTAATATGGATTTAAAAAATCACTACAAGCAAAATCTAACTTTTAAATTCTATAAAGGACAGGCTAAATTAGAAATTGGCAAAGTTAGGCGTGTCAAGCTGCAAACTGGCAAATTTTGCAACTTTGAGGGGGTGTAGCTTGACGGGGAGCTCACCTTTTCAGGTTTTTTTAGCTTTCTCTGTATTGGCCTAGACTCTACTAACCAGCAAACTTGAAAAAAATCTGAAATACGAAGGGAAGAAAGTGTGCAGTTTGGTATGGAATAGCCCATACGTATTCTAGGTTAACAGGAAATTGCCCAGTTTAGTTTCTGTCGCTTAGGTTTGGAAAATAAGAAGGGAATAATTGACTAAATTTCTTGAAGCAGTTTACTAAGCTTCAAAACGTTTCAAGTCTTTGCTTTCAAAGAACTGTTGCCACGTATCAACTGCCGAGCAAAGATTTATTGCCTCAAGAAATTTGTCAATAGCCTTGAGGTGCAGTAATCTAAATGTCGATATAATACTTACCGAAAGACAAAACTGACGTATATAACAATTTCTTTGGGGGCCGACAATTTTACAAATGATTTGACTTGTTGTTTTTTGAAGGTGACAGTTTCTTGGAAACTGTGTTTTTCTGAGTGTACGGGAAACGTTGTGGTGTGTGTAATCAATGCTGAAATGATAATGTTCCTTAGAAGCTAAAAGAGTCTATTGAAGAAAGAAATAACTATTTGAATGTATACTGGATGAGTAGCTATGTGAAAGGAAACTGTTAAGATTGAAGTTCAATAATGCTTTCTAGCAGCTTAGCATAATCCACAAGCAAGAATTCACATGTTGATGGGATACGCAGAACAATGGCGTCGAAAGTGCCAAATGGTGTGTGGTTGGTGTGCAAAAAATTTTCTTTTGGTTTTATTGAGCTCCCTCTGTTTTTTTAATTATTTTCAGTTTTCTTTTTTTCGTGTTGTAGGGTTTTTTAAAGCCTAAATACAGTATTGTTGTATATCAAAGAAGTACACTTTGATTCTTCAAAGTTGACAGCTCAAAGAGCAAAGTTCTAGAAAGTCAATGTTTTTCTTAGGCTTGTTGGACTTAGGCAAAGAAATCCTTCAGCAAAAAAGGCGAGAATAAATGCTCTAGAACCTTAGTGTGTCTATTTAATCATGCCTGGTAACGCAAACTTAATGGATTGAACAATCTTTCCCACGTAAATTTCGTGTAAGAGGCTTCTGGTCTGTTTTTTGGATGACAATAGAACAAACAACTGGACAGGTGAGCAAACAGTCAATAATTAATAATAAAAATATTAATAATGGTAGTAATATTAATGGTGCTAGTGACGTTAGTATTCTTGTTACTGTTCTTATTATTGTTATTAAAGTATTAATATCCTAATAAAGTTCAGTGAAACTGTAATTAGATAGTGCTTCAAAAATTCTGTAAATGGGAAAGGTACTGGAATGTGGAAATGATTTATTTTTTACCAACTGCAAATTTGCTAAAATGCTGTTTTTTCTTCAGTTATTATTATTTTTTCAAACAGCGAACGTGAACGTTTTTACAGGCTTCAACTCTGGAGCGGTTCATCAATTTTTTTGTCCATTCAGTGTAAGATTTGAGCATCTGGATTGGTGGAGCTGCTTAGTGCCTGTTAAACTTAGTTTTCACTTGGCGTGTTAAAAATAATACACAGCTCATATGGCTCCGCAGAAATTTTGAAAGTGATTTTTGATTTTTGCTGATATGCAGATATTGGAATACAAATGTAACGAATTGAAGGGTGATAACATAGGGTGCTGCTGACCGCTTCTTTTTCTTCAAAATTGAGGGAAACATCAGATGAATAAATGTTTATTGCTAATTTTCAACTAAACTTCTGAAAAATCTTCTTTGGAGTCAAGCGAGACATTTTTTTGGTCGTAGTTGTTGTCAACAACAGATTCGGAAATATTATCCCGCGAAAAGTGCTCAACTGTCATACTTACAATGTTCATCGTGGAAAATTCTGCAAAAAATTTTCTTCATGGGAACCAGATACTTCAAAAGAAATTTACATTTTTGAAACTAAGTTCGTTTCTCTGTAAAATTTGCTCAAAAAGTTGTTTTTTATTCAAAAAAACTTGAATACAATTCGATCATCAATACTGGGATAAGGTTAAAAGTTTGAATATAAAGTAAGACAGCATTTGTTGAAAGAAGTTTTATACTATCAGATAGCTGAATTATCTGTAATTTAATAAAAAATTGAAAACCTGTGCAGACGCCGGATAGCTTCATATTTGGAACATAACCATCTTTGCATTCGCATCTTCCCAGGTCGCATATTTTTTTGTCATCTTCACAGTCACGGTCAGTTTTGCATTCTGAAGTGAGCATAACGATGTTTTTTGAATAAGACTAATTTGGGGTAAATTTATGAGATTCTTTTTAACATCTTGTCAAAATACAGACCTTTAAAACCTGAATTTGGTTACTACTTTAAAGTTGAACTCTTTAACTATATTTTCATAACCTGTAATCGCCATTTTTGCAAGTCTCTGTTTATTTTCAAGTTTATACTTAGAGTTACAGTTCCCCCTAAAAAACTTAAAGCAACCTCTTCTACGCAGTTTAGCTTTTTAGCTAACTTCTCTCGTTGCCTGAAATAAAAATCAAACCAAACAAACTTTTGGACATCCACAAACACTGACAGGTTTGGCAACCATTTTTGTCAATCGCTATGCCACAGTTCTCAGCACATATTACAGGTTTTGGGCAATCTATAATCGAAACTCGGTTCAAACGAATCAGTTTTTTGTCAATTCTAATAAAACGACTTAATTACTTATTCCTGGTTTCTGCTTCTTAAAATTCCCGACCATGACGGATTCATCAGAAAGCTCCGCGAATGAATTTTCAAGAGGAGGAGCCATTGAGGCTTGTTCGTTTTGCAGTTTGTCTAGATTCTCGGTCTCCGGAGGAAGATTTTCTGTTCCTTTTGAGTCAGTAGAAAGCTCTGTTTCAGATGTTAAGTTGGACTTTAAGAGGCTAGCTTCCTCATCATTCGAAGCTAATTCAGTTGCATTCTCCATGACAAATTCGACCAGATTGGTCATTGAGGTACTGTTTTCAGCGAAAAAGTCTTCAACTCCTAGGTCATCTAAAATCAAACTGCTGTTTTGGTGAAACAGCCAAAAGCAGATGCTATCAAAGCAAACTGTATAACTTTTTTAGATGATCAAAACAAAACAGTGAAAAATCAACAGAGAAAAAAAAAAACAGTGATCTTCTCCAATAACTTACTGCTTTCTTTTTTAAAAATTCTTTTTGAAAAATTTATAATTAAAAACAGTATCGTATACTGTTTAAGCGTTCAATTAAATTTTCAAAATTATTGTAGAAAAACTTTCTGTTAATTGAGTCGTATGTTGTAGAGAACGCGGATAATTCTTCCTGAACTGTAACTGAAGTTGGAACAGATTCAGTTGTTTGTGTTAGTATTGTTTCTACGCCGTTGCCTTTCGTGACTTGATTACCTCCTAAATATACAAAAAATTTTTTGTGTTATATTTTTAGGCGAACAACTGTATTAAATTGCTTCTGCTAACTTTTGATTTTAAGCAATTCTGGTAAGCTCAAGAAATTATCATCAGTTTCCTCGCAGCTGCTCCCGTACCTGAGCCGCTTATGAGTTTCATCCTGACCATCGTTTTCTACACGATCCGTTTGCTTAAATTGTGTTACAGTTTAGGTATAAATGGCAAACTAATTCAGAATTATTAAAAAAAAGCATTTGACACAGAATATAGAATTTTTACACTAGTAGTCCTTCTCAGATGAGGCGGAAAAGGTGGAAGATATGACATGTCTTCAAAGTCACAAAACCCTTCATACTTTTTCCATTTGATGCTTTGTTACAAGATGCAGTTTGTTGGCTTATAACTTCTTCATACAATTAAGTTGTTTTAAATACTGTTTAGAAAAACAGTATATACATTTAAATCCATTTTTTCAGCAAAGTTCAGCGAAAAACATCATGAAAAAGGCTAAATATTAGTCTTAAGATTGGCTCCAAAAATGGTATCTCGCAGATTCTCCTAAAAAGCATTTTAACTCAAAGCCTTATCCTAAGCTGGGTACCGTAAACTCAAATTTTAGACGAGAATAGACTAATAAAACACAAAGCAAGCGATAAAAATCTCGGTTTACCTCTCAAAGAAGACACTAGTCCTGAGGTAACCTCGTCTGAGATCTAAATCGTCTATGCTTTACTTTTGAAGCAGTTTTTAGCTTCAACAACTTCATCCTTATACTCGCCTTATAACTCAGCAGGTAGCAGGTTGAATTAGCTTAAAAACAGAAGTCTACATTAAGTGTTATTTCATAAAAAGTGCTACAACCTGAGGGTTCTCTACACCATTTTTAAAAATGATATCTTATTCTCTTTGTAAGTTTCTCAACAAATTTCAGCTTCAGAAACAATCTCAAAAATGAAAAACTTGTTTAAAAAAAATTTCTGGAATCGCATGGTTCTACAAAGAATATCGAATGTTACGTGCGTTTTGTTCACATTACACAACGTCAAGAAGTAAAAAAAAAAGTATCTGCAGTTCTAAGGAGCGTTGAAGTTCACTTGTATTTATTAGATAGGCCAAGCCAATGAAATTATAGAACAATAGCTGCAATTTATGGTTTTTGTGAGTTTGAAAAAAACTTATTACATCAGTTAAATTCGGTGCAGTTCATAGTAAAAAAAAATCTTCGTTCATTTCCTTTATATTTTATGTTCAAATTTTTTCTTCTCTTCTTAGCAACAGAAAGTTGGTGTGAATTATTTGCTGCTGAGGTTCGGTAATTTTTTTACCCTATCACACGACGCTAAAATAAAAAGCAATGAGGTTGAAGAATAGTACATTTTGGGTAGGCGCGGTACTCATTTCATCTTCATGACTGCTTCTTGTGTTAGTCATTAGCAAACTGTTCCTGAAACTAATTGCTTATTGTATCAAAAAAATTTTTTTTCAATCACTGCACAAAATCATTGAAAAAAGGCTTAGCTTTAACAGTTCTAGGCGCTCCATAGCACAAGAAAAATAAAGTTAAAACTGACAAATCTTCCTGGAAAGCACTAGTCGGTTTGGCAGTGCTGGTAACCTTACACCGACTAAAACATTTCAGCGACAGTTCAGTTCCACGTTCTCTGCTGCAACAGATCTTTTAGCGGTGAAATTTTAGACGATTGAAGTCAATTTTTTTCCCTTTAATTTTAATTGTACAAATCATAAGACAGTTACCTGCACAAGCTTTTACACTTTTCAACAATAGCGCATTTTTCATCCTCATCGCAAGGAAGATCTAAAAAAAGCTAAAGAAAAAGCCAAAAAAAAAAATATATTTGTTAAATTTCTGTTCTAAAAATAATAATTTTACTAAGATTTTAACTCACTGAAGAGATCAAAAATAAAAAAAATAAAGTCCATTAGTTTTTTAAATTTATTGTGACATTCGCTCCTCTTTAATGTTTCCGACTGGCAATAAAAGCAACACGACGTATCTGTAACCTTTGATAAAGATTCCTAAAGCACTGGATTGGCAAACGTGAACAGCGAAGCAGAGAAGCGTCAACCAGTGAAATGATGGCTTCATCACAGAATCACTACTAATAATAATTGTCTCAAAAGTTGTGGTAAAACGGCCACTCAGCAATTGTTCGCTCTCCTAAACATCAAACTTCTAGAAGTTTAGTAATAGATTCAGCTTTTTTTAGATTTAGTCAGATCACCACAAAACTGTCAATACAGTAAGGAGACAAAAAAAGTGGTCGACAGAGCAAGAAAGTGAATAATGCTTCAAAGTTTTACGTTACGGTCAAAATTCTTCTAACGAAAAACAGAGTTAAAGCTTATAAAAGCGTTTTACACTTTGGAGAATACATTATGGAACCTAAAAACCAGATGGCAGCGTTCCCGTTAGAAAATACTGCATTAAAAAAAAAATTAAAATTAGGTTAATTAGCACGACTGTAATGGAGGAAAATGGTGGAACGAACGATTCAATAAACACAATAATAAAAAAGTTATTTAAAAAACACTCAAATCTAATTTTTGTGAACAAAAGCGAATAAGAATTGCATTTTTTGAGGTCAAAAATAGAGACTGTCGCTTTGTTGGCCGCAGCATTTCCACTCCATTCTCAGCTGTTCCGCCTCCCGCCTTCTAAATTATGTAAAAAAAAAAAGGAAAACAAAGAAGACCAAAATGTTAGACCTGAAAAGGTGTCAACAATAAAAAAAGAAAACTGAACTAACAAATCCGAAAGTTTTGCTTCTATTCCAACCATGTAAACATGATTAGCAGCAATACTATAAAATTCATCAAATTAATCTTCAAAAGCGACTCCAACAAACGGACTACCAAAATAAACCAGTTTAAGAAAAAAGTGCATGGTGTGAGCCTATTTCCCAGTGCTTCTATTTCAAGAGCTTACGCTTCCTTTTTTTGTGTGTCATTCATTATTCACTATGTAAATCTCCAGTTTGACTCAGTGATCATCTGTCAATCAAAACAAATCCTGATACAATGGTATAAAATCATTGCTTTCGTAATTTTTGTATTCATCCTTTTACCATATTTGGCATCATTCTGAAACCTAAACTGTAATAAAAATCAACCCATTTAGTTCTTAGATATGTTACTGACTGAAGAAACTGTTTGCTTAACAAAATCTAGTCAATAAAATTTCCACAGCGATATTAATTCAAAGACATTGATCTCCTGTAAATTCTGAAAAGTTAATGGTCAAAAAAAACACTGGTGAGCAGTTTTTTGTAGCGTTAATGTAGAACCAACAGCCAGTAGGTGAATTATACTAATAATTTGTAAATAACTGTAAGGGACTAACTGAAAACAAAACAGACTCTTGGAACCGTAATAAATGTGGTACAACGATGGAAAGTTTCTTAGCGGCAAAATTAGGGTGAAGCGGATCTAATACTTATTAAAGTTCAATTAACTCTTCAACTTACTGTAAAAAAAAAAAAAGCAATTTTCGTATTTCTTCGTACCTTATCGAGGTGCAAGAGGAACAAATTTTGATTTTGACGACTAAAACCGGTCCAGGTATGCCAATTGCTCTTCCGTCCTATCCATAAACGAACGTTTTAGTGTAAATTTGAATTATCTCATGAAATGGTCTCATTGGTGTAGATAACTATAAATCTTCAGAGTCCCTCATTTTAAGACAAAAACCGTTTCTTTGAATAGAAACGCATTATAAATAGTTACTAAATTTAATAAAGGTAGTATATGAATCACTCAGTCTTAATGCAAATGCATTAAGAAAGTTGCGAACGCCGTAGAACTTCCTGCCCAACACGTGTCATAAAAAAAGCCCATCCTGACTCTATAGATATTCAATTTAATTTTGCATCGTCATTTTCCTCAAATAACCGGTAAGAAGACGGAAGTTAAGATTTAACATCTTCTAACAGTTTACATTAACTGTACAAACCAAATGTACTGAACTTCGTCACACAAACCCGTATCTGCCTTCAGACGACGTACTGCAGGTGACAATCTGCTCTAAAATGTGTTCACACTGTTTAATCCCGTTAAGATATAAAATTTTCTTGGCATTTTTTGTTTCTGAATTAGAGTGCAAAGAGCACGTTAAGAAAAATTTGATGAACAAAAAAACAGCGACAAGAAGCAGGAACCATTGTCTAACAAAGAAATATTCAAGCATCCTTCATGGCTCAATTTTTCTATAGTACCAAACTGCTCTTGACCACTAAAATAGCCCAATTCACAATGAAACTTTGCCACTGGCAATGGATTTTCCTCTGAAACAAGCATTAATTTCACGATGTATTCTTGATGACTGATAACCAACGGTAGTCGACGCTTCAGTAAATGTTTTTTACTACTGCACAAAAACATTCATCATTCTCTCTGCTGAAGGTAAACTAAGCCTAACTTTCCGCTGTCCTGTGTGGTCCAAATGCCTCCATTTTTTTGAACCAAAACTACCTTACAAAAGTGTAACGTGCAATTCCACTTCAGGAGAAACAAAAATTACTCGAATGCGATTCTCAAGTATGCCTTTATTGCAGTAGTTTGATACTAACGTTGACCTCTGCAAAGACCAAATACTTTCCCAAAATTATCTTTCGAAAAACCCCTATTTACAATCGTCATCCCAGTTTCAAAGACAAGCATTTGTTATCGTCCACTGCAAACAATGATTCCATTCCAAGCATTAATAACATCGACAGTTGCAATTTAAGACGACGCAGCAATAAATCCTAATAATTTCGTTATGATGTTGTTCACGTATCGGTGGTTTTTAAGACATTGCAAAACGAACTGACTTATACCAAAAATGGTAATATCATAGTCATAATAAAAATCAGTTGTCATCTAGAAGTGTCCTCAGCAGGCCTTCCTTCTCCCTCCCCTCAGATGCAACATCCCTTTCTTGAAATACCTCTAAAGTTCCAAAGCAGCACACCAATTGTCCAATCAGACTTTGTTCTTCCCAACCAGAAAATTAATCAATACTGATTTCTTCATTTCTTGTTCACTCATAATCGAACACATGACAACAGAAAAACATGTATACAGTGCCCCTGAAGTAACATCAGTAACTTGCCTCTAAAATGAAAAAATTATGTAAAAAAATTTTTATTTCAGTGGTCATATGGAAGTTCAGGCCGAAATGAACCACTCATGCAAGTGATTCCCCATAATCCGTTCCATCCACATAATACGACACATGCGACATCTGCAACTGCCATGTCTAAACCTGCAACCCTTGTTCTATCCCTCAAAAACCCCTGTTCAATTGATTTTTCGCCAAATTCTTGCACCAGCGATCGAAGAAACAATTCTTTGTTTTTTATTCATGAAATGCCCAATTCAAGCAGAAGTTTTGTTTATAACTACTAGACGCTGCATTTTCTCGCATATGAGAAAGTATAGCTTGAATGTGCAAAAATATAAACCATCAGTGAAATTATCTTTCAAAAAATCAACAAATAATCCTTATATGAAGAAACAAGTTTTTAGCCCTCATCAACAGAAAACAAGAGCAGTACTATCAATGGTTAGAAATACCAAACAACAACAATAAGTTAACAATTTATTGAACCTGAAACAATACCTACGAGCAACCCAGTTGCAGCCGAATATCAAAACAACCAATTGTTGTGAACTTCAGTAAACAATGAGGTTCAAAAAAATTAAAGAAAACAAAAAAGTAAAGAATATGTGGTCTACAAAAGTTTCAAGCAGTCCCTTCTGCTAAAGTCAGTTTTACTACAAATATCAATATCAAAAATCGATAATGCAACTTACTGTTCCTTCTTAAAAAGGAATCATTATTTGAACTGCAGAAACTTGCCATGAAAAGTGTAAAGCGCGTTAAAATTTGAGACAGGTTACAAGAACGTAAGAGAGATATGCAGACTAGCAAAGAATAGATGCCGCGCGAGTGAGCGAAAAGAATTAAAGCGTTGCCTGCGGAATTTTGGAGTACTGGTAACATGATTCAGCACCAAAGAAGGAAAATTATAAAACGAATATGCCCTTACATAAAATCGTCTGAGAGGTTCCCAGCATCAACATTAGACTGCATTTTATCGGGATTGAACATGCCTTCGTAATTCCGGATCTTTCGTTCCTCTTCTTTAGCCTTCATTTCCACCAGCTCCCTTTCTTTCATTTCGTGCTGCCTTTGTTTCTACGCAAAAGAAAAGTTTCATCTTTGCATTATTATGAGTCATTGGTTGCAAACGAACCATCCAGGTGTAACACAACTACCAGTAGGTTAGATAAAAACAGAAGATAAAGTAAGAAGTATAAAAATTCTTACTGCCAACTGTCTTTCTCGGGCATCCCTGTCTTCTCGTTCCTTCCGATAATCGATATCTTCTCGCCGCTCAGTCTTATTCAGTCTATTAATGATTTCATTGATCCTTTTAGCAACACGTATCTGCAGAAACAAAGCTGTGTTAATCAGTTACGAAAACAGAAAAAAATAATACAAACCTAACAGTAAAAAATCCACCTCAGTGGCAAACAAAAAACTCAGTAATTTTAGCAAAAATTAAGTAGTAATATTAAAAAAAAGTCGAATTTATAACAAACTTTACAATTTTAGAAATAAAAACCCATTATAATTAAATTCTTCAAAGCTACCTTTTTCACTTTTGCATCATCTTTAAAACCAATCTGCCCAATTGCCATGCTACCAGTTTTTTTCAAATTGTCCCATGGTGTATATACAATATCAATATTATTCATCTTGTTTCCCTGCAACAAAGAAATCGTGATTTCAGTATTGACTTTCACTGAAACTGCTCATGATTAAAATTTTATTCCAAAATACGTAATATTACATTTTAACTTAAAACATTAGTTTATCCAATTCAAACTTAAAAATATTATCTACTCCTAAAAAAAAGTTAGGCAACAGCGCTCAAGACAAAAACATTATCAAAAGTAAGATTTTGTGGACAATTCTTGACTAACAAAGAAAGTCAGACTTTACTCAAGGATATAAACATAAGCAGCGATTCGTCAGCACATAAGACAAAAAAAAACTCACGTTTGCCGAAACCGACCTGAATACTATTTGCTTTTACCAGCTGTGCACAATCGTCAATTAAAGCCTGTGGCATATCATCTATAGTCTGCCCTTTTTCTAAGCGAGCATATACGTGAGCTGATGACACTTTATCGACGTGGAACCAAATATCTTCCGGCCAACCCCACCTAGGAACGAATAATATAAAGAATTTAATACAGTAAAAAAGCTACAGTTTCAAAAACCTTATTGGTATGAATGCAAAACTTAAGAAATAAACCGGGATTAAAAACGCAGCGATGCAGCACCAATGAGAACAAAAAGAAAATTTGAAAGTAATCTGGTAGGAACATAATGAAAACTTTGAAGCAGCTCACCTGATAAGCTCTTCATTCTCATGCTTATCAATTCCCATGTACAACAGGGCAGGCGGATCAACTACTGTTGAAGTAAATTTAACTACCATCATTCAGGACACCTGGTAAACCAAATAAGGTCGTGAGCACTCAAAGCAAGGAAATAAAAAAAATCTATTAAGACCGAATAGGCAACTTAAAATCTGTGCACTAGAAAATAACAGCAAGATAACACCATTTACACATCATGATTCAAACTGCCATCAATCGACAGCAGAAATGTGTAAACACTTTGAAACCAGTTGCCAATATTACCATCCTCCAGTAATTTCATTGTCTAAAAGTTTCCTTGAAAAATAAAAGGTAGACACAAATTTATTCCAACATCATATGTTTCAAGACTTTTAAAACGATTTGAAAATAACGCGTTGTCGACGTTCCTTACGACAGCAAGAGAAAACCTTTCCACACAGCTAATGTTCTCTATTTCAAAAGCTGGTGGCAATGTGAATGCCCTTAATCCAATTAGCTCCAGGAAACTTTACTGAGCAATGAACGAAACAAGTCTCTCTATCCTATTAAAACGAAAAAGAGCAGTTTTTTAATCAAACTTCTATATATCTTTTAAAGGTCAGGAAGCCAGTAACAAAGCCCATAGAAAGCAAAGCAAGCAGCCTTCAAAAACAGCACTAAAGTTCATGCAAACCAAAATAAGATGCCTCAAAAAGACTCGTTAAAATCGGTCCACTGTTCCTTCTCAAAACTCACTAACGAATCGCTGTTGATCACAGAAATGTCGAAACTAAAACTGCTTTAAAGAATTTCTGAATGAGCAATATAATTTTTTTAACAAAATGATCCTTACAAACCCATATGCAGTCCCTGAGACTACTGTAGGTAGAGAACTGGGCTATTGCTAAGACCGCGGTTTCCAAAAACTGGTCATTCAACCTCACTCACAGACCTAAATTTTTATGCTAACCGGCTCTATAGCCTAAATTCAAGTATCTTTTCTGATGCATAATATATAATATCAAATATCTGATTTCAAATACCACTTTTTGAACACTCAGTATTTAAATTTTTATCTTTGACAGGTGGAATAGTGAAACGCAGCAAGCAACTTGTAACAATTAACCTCTTTCACCCAAAAAATTTTAAATCACCGTTTGATGACACCGGTAAAGTTAGTAAAAACTTCAAAGATGGTGACAGCGAGAAACAAAGTGAGCAGCACTGTGCGAAGAATTCAGAAGCGAAACATAATGAAATAAAAAAATAAAAAACAGTAAAAGGAGATTCTTCCCACTGAACTGCATGGGTAAATAGCAGTTATAATCACAAAAATAGATCGCTGTTTTTAAACCAGACAGCAGGCACACTACTTCAACATTCCTTACACACCCATATCCGGTTTTAGTTCTTCGGCTATGACTATCTTTTTATATCAAAATCATTGACCATTAGCAAAAGATAAAAAGCCATTGCAGATACAAGCTACCATATTATTTGACTGTTCAACTAAAGCATAAGCGTGTAAAAAAAGAACTTTTACTACATCTTATACACTTCACACTAAGTCTCAAAATTTTATACCCATACACCTTAAATTAGTCGCAGACTAAAAAGCAACTACACTGTTACAAAATACAATAAACTGGAACCTCTAACCCCTAAATAAATATGTATTTATTAACATGTATTACAATCACCTAAGCACCCCAACTGCACAAATTGGACAAATGTCAAATGCATCAGTTCCCAGTTCAGTACTACTGCAGCTCTAATGCATAAATACACGGGATGTTGCAAAAATTTATTTGAAGCAAGTACCACTCAGCAGAGCTGCATAAACAGACAGGTAACGTGAAAAGAAACATGTTCGAAAACGTGAGAAGTCTGGACGATCAGCAACGTGGCAAAGCCGAATCTCGAAAATCAATTAGTCTTTACAGCGAGGCACTCACCAATTTCAAAACGTAAAGCCCTTCAGGGAAACAGTACCTACTCGGGCCAATAAGTAACGATTTAACAGTCACAGCGGGTCGTTGTCAGTTTACGTGTACAACGCCCTTCTGACAAAAACTGTTGAAGAAGCTGCATCTACATTCTGGATAAACCGATATAATTAAAGACGTTTTCTAGTGTTTTAAATGAAACTGGCTCATAAGATTTCACGGATGAGATGGGGAACTTTGTACTAGAAACTTTGAATTCTAAAAGCTGATTTTTTTTTCCTTGGTGGTTTCTTGAAAAGAAACTCTAAGCAGCGTCCGAACCTCGTAAATATCATAAGAAAAGTTGGATAAGGTACCACTACAGGCTAAAAAGTAGCTTTTTATCCTGTTCGCACATATGCAGTTGTTGTTTTTGGTGCAGTTTTACATGGAAATCATTTAAACCGTTAAAACAAAAACCTTTGTTTTTTTTTTTGAATCTATTCTGTTACTGATAAAATACATATGTTTTAAATTAATTTCTCTTTTTATTTTCCCGCTTGTGAAAACCCTTAAGCTTGAAGCTTTAAAGTTCTTCAGCTTAAAATAATCATCAAATACACCCAGCTCTGCAATTTTTTTAAGTACATATATTATAAAAATTTTTAGATGCACTATGAAATTCGGGAAAAAGAGGCTACTAGCTATGAAATCTTTTTTCAAGCTGTTATCGTTTCCGCTACTCAAAATTTTTTTGTTTTCTTATGCACTATTTAAAAAACTTTGTTCTACTTACGTAGAACAATTCTGAATTGAATTGTTTATTCTATTTCCGTTATTCAAAGCCGCTTTTGAAAATACCGTGATCAATCGTAAATTTCCTCTGCTGCACTCTATTGAGTAATAAGAAATAATGGCCCAGTTGTTGTTTTGCAACTGCACTTTTAAGAACTAGAAGCTCCAGATCCATCTACGAAAAGTTTCGCTGTTCTTTTATTCAGTATACCTTTACGGCTCTTCAGTTAGCTTTACAAAATTTTTGCCGTAAAATCACTTGCCGAGGTACATGGGACTCCGTGACCAACCAATATGAATGGCCTAAAAAAGAATAGGAACTAGAAGTTCCAG